CAAAATGAAAACCCAGGTCTTTGGCTCCAGCCCTGAAGCTTATAACCACTGTGCTCCACTCCTTCCAGGTCCATACCTGCAAAGTGAAGGTAGCAGTGCCCCCTGACTTCAGCCTCAGATCTCCCTGCAACACCCTCAGCTCCAAGAAAACAAGAGAAACACTGGAACACACATTTAAGAAAAATGGACAAAACCCTACTTTTCTCCTCAAAGTCTCACTTGTTTGAACTTAATCACAAGTAGTAATCGTGGTACTTGGAGTGAGAACTGGCCCCATAGAATCAGGATTCAATACTGGGTCCTCAGTTGGTGAAGCTGTTTGGAAAGGATTAGGAGAAGTGTCCTTAGAGGAAGTGTGTCAGCAAGGACTGGCTTTGAGGTGTCAAAAGCCATTCCCAGTGTGCTTTCTCTGGCTCCTGTTTGTGGATGGAGATGTGAGCTCTCAGCTGCTGCTCAAGCCACCTGCCACCATGCCTTCACTCCACCATTATGAACTCTGAGCCACTGAAACCATGAGTCCAATTAAATACTTTATAAATGCCTTAGTCACGTTGTTTTGTCAGAGCAATAGAAAACACTGGTAATGTTTGTCTCTTTCTTTCTTAGGGTATTTTTGGTTTCTTCTTCTTCTTTTTTTTTTGTTGTTGTTTTTTGAGACAGGGTTTCTCTTTGGCTTTGGTATCTTTCTTTCTTAGGGTATTTTTGGTTTCTTCTTCTTCTTCTTCTTTTTTTTTTTTTGTTGTTGTTTTTTGAGACAGGGTTTCTCTTTGGCTTTGGAGACTGTCCTAGAACTAGCTCTTGTAGACCAGGCTGGCCTCGAACTCACAGAGATCCGCCTGCCTCTGCCTCCCAAGTGCTGGGATTAAAGGCGTGCGCCACCAATGCCCAGCTGGGTATTTTTGGCTTCTATTTGTGTGTGTGTGTGTGTTATCCAGTGATCTCATCAGGGTAAAAACAGAAGTGACTAAACACAGCAAGGGGGAATGTTCTCAGGCCCTTGGGTGTTCAGCCTGGATCCAGACTTAGATTTAATGCCAGAATTCCAAGGCGAGGCAATGGAACCATGACTCTGATAGTCAGAACCCAAGAAATCCAGGGTAATAAAGGCAAGCAGGAAGGGACAAGGCATTCAGTGGAGGGAAAGCACCCACACATGGATAAGGCCTGACACCTGGTTGCAAGTGACTAATAGGCTTTTGATCCCTGGAAATGGGTCAAAACAGGGCAAGTGGCAAAAATCCAGTCCTAGGACCTGAGGTATATGGAAACCATATGGGTAGGATGAAGTGGGCAAGAGGCAATGTGGAAGCAGATCTTACTGGTGGCAAAGAATGCATAAAGGATATGGTAGAAACTCAAGTGCTCTTACTAAACGAAAGGATTGGCACTGACAGGGTGATTCCTCCATGGCCCTAATCTGATGGATAAAAGAGACAAGCAACACATTACTGGTTTTCAATTTTTTAAGTTACTATACAAACTGGGTAGTGCTGAGCCTTGGTATAGCATGTCGATGTCAATCATCAAACTCCAAAACTAGAGACAGCAGGGAAATGACATGGAGACTGCAAATGCTACCACCCATAATTATAGCATTATTTAGCTTAATCAAATTTGAAATACTGATATATGCTCACATATGAGGCAAAGTGTCCATCTGTATATATCTCTGACCTCCCAAGGAAGGAAAAGTAATGACTACAAACCTATGGAAGGAAAAATGATTTAAAAAAAAAAAAACCTATGGGGATTATCTGGCAGGATTCAGATTCTTTTTTCACTGTGTCATTTACCTGCTCACTCTCTCTCTTTTGAAGAGCCATGTTAAGTGCTACTTGGATTTATCCCATATTTTTTACTCTGCCTATATCTAACATAGCAAAGATGAATATTAATCAGGAGATTTCTGTTAATTAGTTTCCTTGATGGAATGCTCACTTTCTTTTGGTTTTGATGGGTCAATAAAGTGGAGAATTATCCCAGTCATAGCATAAATGACTCTGCTAAGAGAAATCAATTCAGGAAACCCTGCCGCTACAAAATGGCACGCTTCTTTTTGAAATACATATTGGAAGAACATGGGCTGGCTGACAGACCTCCAAGGGTCAATGATGAAAAGTCAACAGGAATGGTACAAGCTTAAATATTACAGCAAAGGGAGGGAGGGGGAAAGGGAAAGAGAGAGAGAGAGAGAGAGAGAGAGAGAGAGAGAGAGAGAGAGAGAGAGAGAGAGAGATCCAATACTAAGAAAGCTGTTTGTGAAGAGCAGTTACATAGTCTCAATGCCAAGATAGTACATGAAAACTGGTCACAAATCTAGCTTTAGTTTTAAAGATCACATCCTCCTCTTCTTTCTTTCCTCTTGCTCTGCTTTTTTTCTCCTTCTTATTTTATGCATAAAAATGCAACCAGCCTGAACTAAAGCAAATTGGTTTAATTCCCTGGAGGGAGCACGAACAAATTTTCCCAGCAACTTTCTACCACAGGCGTTTGCATGAGGGTTTGTGGATGGAATGTGAAGCAGGCGGTTATGTAAACCAGTAATCAAATGAAACATTACCCACTTCAAAATGCCCTAACCTAATATGAGCACTACCAATTAAAACACTGAACAGAGACAGGGGAAATAACCAAAGAGAAGAAGGGGTAAATGTAAGTGGTGTGTGTGTGTGTGTGTGTGTGTGTGTGTGTGTGTGTTTTAGTGTTTGAGTGTCTGTGTATGTTTGTATGTATGTGTGTATGAGTGTGTGTCTAGGAGTATAGAATGTATGACTGTATGTGTTAGTATGTATGTGTAAATGAGTATGTATATCTGTTTGTATGTATGTGTATATGAGTGTGTATGTGTGAGTATAATATGTATTATGTATGTCTGTGTATGTTTTTTGTATGCATGTATGTGTGTCTGTTTGTATGTATGTGTGTATGAGTGTGTGTGTGTGTGTGTGTGTGTGTGTGTTAAGAGGTGAGGTGAGACAGAGAAGGGACACAACCTTGGAGAAATTAACTTCCTTCTAGGGGAAATGTGCCACAGGCGTGCTAGCAGGAGTTCTCTTTGATGTTAACAGGAGAAATAAAGGGAATATATTTAATAATTCCATCAAACTGAAATTTCAGCTATTTCCCTAAATTGCCCAGTCATTAGACAACTGTAAGGGTGTTTCCACCTGCCCACTTTGAGCCTGTGGGTAAACAGAAAATAATTAGCTGTAAACTAAGAGGTTTTTGATTTTGGGGTTCTGCTTTGTTTTGTTTCCCTCTCTTTTATGACTGAGATGTTTATGAAAATACTGGTCCTTCAAGAACTGTCCAGGGGTAACATTTTATTCAACACTTGCTCAACAAATGTGGCAGCTCTTCATGTTGGGGAAACAAAGATGGAGAAGGCATGCTCCTTGGACCACAAATAGAGCCTCTAGGCCAGACTGAAGCTACCTTGCACTCTATATTCCATAACTGGATTGCTTGGTTACTGAATGGGCCTTCTGCTCTCATATAACCATGGGTATGAATAGTTTCATTTGAGTCATTTGCTCAGTTCCATAGACTTGTACTTTTACCAAGACTTAGAAAAGAGCAGCTGCTTCCACATAGCACCTGCACAAGGTATGGGGGCTATTTCAGCCCACACAGCTGATGAATGGCCCATGTTTATTCTTCTTAACGCTTCTCCATGCTACCCAAGGGCACGGAGACCAGACGGAAGAGTCTAGCCATGTCACAGATCGGACCACCTTCCAATGTTCATCACTCATTCACCGCCCCCCTCCTTAGAGCTGCAGAGGGCAGCAACCACAGCCTCCTTTCTCCATCCCACCTTTCATATTAACCTGAAACCACACACCTAGCTTTGAGGTCAAAGCACAAAATGTATTTCCTTCCAATGACAAATTTCATTCTCTGACCTTTGTATTTCTTTCCCAACCACCCTCATCCTCAACTTGTACATTTAAAAGAGTTTTAGAAATAAGTATAGCGGCACACATCTATATTCTCAGCAATCAGGAGGCTGAGGCAGGCACACTGGAATTACAAGGCCAGCTAGGTGAGATCTTGTCTGAAAAATAAATGATTAAATAGCCCCAAAGTAACAACATCAAAACTTTGGCACATTTTTACATTTATGATTTCAATCATTATTCAAAAATTGGTTAAGCATAAACAAATTAAATTATAGTGTGACTACTCTTTCCTCTGGAAGAGATTACAACATGAAGAATTTAAACTACATCTTAGTAACCAGCCACACACAGAGGGTGAGCAAACAAGCGGCCTCAGTTTGAACAGCCTGCTCTCTTACTGTTCTAGTCCCACAAAGCCTGCAACTCCAAAGAGAAGGCAACAATGCATTCATGTAGTGTTTCCAGCTAATTAAAATATCTTCCCGTTGGCACCATCTCTTAAGCCTACTACATAGAAATTACTAAACAGAGAAACAAACTTCCCCCATATGAACCCTTAGACGAATGTCCTGGTCAGATTTTGTCATTAGCCACAAGCTAGACACATTTGGGAAGAGGGTGCCTCAGTTGAAAAAAAAATATCTCTACAAGACTGGCCAAAGAGCAAGCCTATGAGGAATTTTCTGGGTTAATGATTGATGTAGGAGGGCCCAGACCACTGTGAGTGGGGCCATCTCTGAACAGGTGATCCTGGGCTGTATAAGAAAGTAGTCAGAGCTAACTATGAAGAACAAGCTAATAAGAAACACACCTCCATAGCTTTGTTTTCAGTTCCTGCCCCCAAGTTCCTACCTTGAATGAACTATGAGGACCAAGTGTAAGATGAAGTGAACCCTTCTCTCCCCAAGTTGCTTTTGGTCATGGTGCTTTATTAGATCAATAGAAAACACCAATTAAGGCAGGGGACAAACCATAGCTGAATGAAAGCACACCTCTTATTTGAGTAACTTGATTACAGCTCCTGGTATCCATATGACAGGATGGGGTTGTGGCAGTTCTCTTTGTAGCATACCCAACTGGGTCCCAGCCAGTGTTTACCTGCACAGGTGTGGCGATCTTGGTAGAAGTCGTCCCCACAGGCGGACACACATTGGCCCTGCTGCATCAGCAGAGGAGGCAGGCAAGATGAGCACTCCAGTCCATTGGTACATGTGGAGCACTGGGGCTGGCAGGCTGACCCAGAAAAGGTAGAGAATAAAAAGAAAAAAGACCTCAGGTTATCTGGAATACACCACCTCCAGACTGACTCTCACAGACCCCAATCCTGATGCTCTAGGATCATAAACAATTTCATGTGTAGACTAAGCAGCTCAGGCCAGGCACTGTTCAAGGGTATTACAGATAAGGACACTTTGATCTGCAGAGCAACCCTATGGAGTAGGCATGATTAATCCTGATTTTACATATGAGAGACCAGCTCCAGAGATTAAAAAACCTGCCCAAAGCCACCAGATAATAGCATTTGAAACCAGGCACTCTGGCTCAAAAGCCTTGGTCTTTTCTACCTATCAATTAATCCTTAATACCTTATAACTTTATTACCTTCTTGTTTTCTAGGAATGCCCCTAAACAATCTTCCAAAAAAAAAAGACTATAAATCAAGAAAGAAAGAATAATAAAATAACAATGATGAAAGTAGCCAACCCTTGACAAGATGCATCCGTATCCTAGACACTCTACAACACATTTAAGAATGTTCATAGGCTTAATCTTTGCCCCTACCTTCTGAGGGGAGCAGGAAGTTAAATATTCACAGCCAGAGAATAAACCTGTACACTCATCAGTGAGTTACTACTAACATCACAAATCAGAGATAAAGGTGACAATAGTATTTGACTTCAACCAAGCCAAGCTTTCCTAGGTAAGATCTCCTCAGACGTACAAAACTTCTGAGATGCAGATGAACACAGTTTAAATCCTCTCATAATTTATAAAGATAAGCTCCATTAGCAGTTACCTGTAGGACATGGAACAAGACAACAAATTCTGTCTAGTCCACTGGTTCCTTGAGTGCAGAAATCAAAAGTTCTAGTAAATGACCTTGAATATCCCTATCAATTCTAAGACTTCCACTCTGGATTAATTGAGCATTTTAGTAAATGACAGCAAGCATCTGGATGTTACTGTCTTTCAAGTCTTCAAAATGAAGGAAATCAGCTTAACTATTCGAAATCATCTGACCCCCATATCACCCACCTTCCAGGAAATATTGGACTATCTATAAAATGTCAGAAGAAAGAGTTCTGAAGGTAAAGATCTTTTAAACGTATCTTTTCCTGCATCGTGGTCCCTTCTGTAACAATACTGTGGCTCAGCTGAAGAATAAGTCCCAATGACAGTCTCTTTAGCCCTTTACAACTTCAGCTCTGGGTTGCCATACCTAAACAGAGACCGCCTGCACGGTAAAAGCCCAGCCCACAGCTATGCACACATCGTCCATTCTGCAGAAGCTTTGTGGGATCCCGGCAGAGGTCACAGTGGTCTGGAGAATGAGAGCAGGTCAAGCAGTCTGGGTGGCAATGAACTAAAACCAAGAACAAAGAAGAGAACTTGGTAAAAACCAAAGTTTCTTGAAGAGTCCAGAGGACACATATATTATACGAAATAGGAAAGAGAAAACAATAGAGCCCAGGTGCAAAATGGCCCCACAGAGAAACAATACACATTGCTACAAGATTCCAGGACCCACCCTGTCTGAAACACCATGATCATTCCCAGCATTCAATTAAATTGTTGAAGGAATGGGCTCCTTATCATTCTGCCTGCTGCACTGACTCTAGAAAAAGGAAGAACTAACTCCTAGTTATGAGACTTGAGCAGAATCAGTCAGCCATGGTATCAAAGAGGTTTTTCTGAAGCCTGGCACACACAAAGACTTCAGACACATAGCCTGCAAGGCCTAGAAATAGTTAATATCTTTAGCAAATACCACGTTTTCTTCAAAATCTTGAATCTTGTCACACTAGTCGGGACTGCCATCTGTCTCGGGGTAACCATCACCACAGGGTTGTTTCAGGCTTTAAAGTTTTCAAGAGCCTGATTTCTGTTAGTGTTATAATACATGGCATGCTAAATATTTGTTCTGCAAAGCCCAGAGAGCCACTCTGGCAAAGGTACCATAATTAAATATAAAGTTCCCCTGCTTTTCCCTGGATAAAGGCTTCGGCACAACTCTGATTAGCCAAAACAAGGTGTTGGTGAGAACAGATGCCAGTGTCGGAAACTGTGGCTTACTGACGGAAACAATTAATTAGGAAATACAAATGGATGGAAATGCCACTTGTCTCCAAAAAGGGCTACGCTACAGGAGAATCAGTGTTGAGCTGGGCAGTCACAGGGCTTGCCAACAACGACTAACCGGAACTAATTCAACCCCAGGTGATTTGAAAGCACAACTGCAAGACAAGTAGATAAAATTTTCTTTTGGAAGAAATTAATGAGTCTTGAAACTTTAAAACCTCATTTGAGAACTGCAAAAGGAGCCATCTGTTTCACAGTTCACCTTTAAAAAATAAGAAAGAATATCTCTGGCAAGTTTTGTAGATTTATTCTTATATTTTCAGCAGTAGAAGGCAGATAGACCTTGACATGACCTTAAGAATGGTAGTATTTGACTAATACAAAAAATTTTTTGAAGATAAATAAGGCACATTTTATAATTAAGAAAACTAAGACACCGGGAGGGCCAATGGTTTGCCCAGAGTTATATAGTTCAATCAGACAAATTCTGTAAAGATTAATAATAATTTGTCCAAAAAGTTAAGAAAAAAACAAACTCCCAAAACTGAGCAACCAAAAAAATGGGAAGAAAAATGAGAATATATCTGAATTTTCTTGACAGGAAAATCATCTCAGTAGGAATAAATGGGACACAGACCTACCTGGTGTGCAGTCCGGACAGCACTGTCCCTTCACTACCAGGGCTAGGGTGGCCACTGGACATGGTGGGCATGATGGCTCATAGCAAGTGACCTGAGCCTGCTGGCACTCACAGACCTTGCAAGGGCCTTCTTCCCACTTCTCTCCCTCCTGTGGGAAACAGCAGAGACAGTAACAGAGTGTAGGGACTCAAAAGGAAACTACTGGGGCAGAACAGCAAGCTTCCACAAGGACCGGTTGATGGACGCCACCAGCACCCTGTACTCCCAACTCTGCCATCAGACAACAAGGAATTTAACTAACAAAGGGTTTCTCCTCCTTCGCTTTTAATTGCTTTCTTTTAATGTGCAGCCTCAATGGAATGATTTTAAGCACACTCAAGAGATAAACTGTGAGGTACCTTTGGGCAACCAGAATATGTAAGAAGTATTTAAAATGTGTTTCCCGACACATTTCAGCCTCTGAAGCCAAAACAAAACCCACCAGGGGGCATTGCCATTACTTCATGTACCTAGTGGTTAGTAGGTCCATTAAACACAATCTATAAGACTGAGAAACTTGGTTCAAACCCTGCATTTCTTTATGGTTACTACAGTCAGAATAACAAGGAATTTATTGTATTCTCAAAACTAAAGCTTCCGGAGGTCCATTTTTGTAGGTTACTGATGAGCCAGGAGAATTCTTTCCTTAAAATATTCCAAGCAAATCATAGTAATATACATTAATAGTTTGACAGAGAATCTATGCTGACTCTAGAAGCAATTTCCTTGACAATCCACTGACCCTGGAAATCGGAACAAGACAAAGGTGCTTTCACAGGCTGCACCGCATTGATCAGAGAGGAAAAATGAGAAAATGGGAAAGTAGATTTTAAAATAAAAGTCTTGATAAAATGCTTGCTGAGCTAACTAATTTAAAATATCTCTAATAGAAACCTTGACAGTATTTTACAAATCAAATGGGAAAATGCCAGAGAACTGAGGAACACAGTCATGAGAAGGAAGAGTTGCTATCCGGCTTGGGTTCCGAGACACTTATCCACTAACGTTTAAGATGGGAAACTTGCTGGCACGTATGAATATGCACTTCATCTTTAAGAGAAGAAACAGCACTGCAGAGCTCACAAACTGGAGAAGGGGAGCTTGGTTGCTTGGGAATGATCCCTTCACCATCCCAACAAGCTCCTCCTTCAACACAATACCATTCACAGAGTTCCCTCAGAGAACAATGACTTGTCTAGGCTAGAGAAAATCATCGGAGGAAGGGAAAGGATACAGTGGTGTCCATGGCTAGTGAAAGCTAATTATCAATTATAGACAAATAAGCAAAAGGAAAGAGCCAAGTTTAGTGCATTGAAGACTCAATTTTCATTAACACCATTAATTTCAGACCATAGTGCCATCAAATGCACCTATGAAAAATGCCAAGACATCAAGTTCCCCATAGCAAACTCATGCAAATCATTACTTAAAACAATTCTGTAAAGATCCATGCAAATTAAAAATCCATACTTACTGGAATATGCTTAATTTCACTTGCATTTGAAGGCATCTAGAAAGAAAGAGAAATGTATTTATGATACCATTAGAAGCATCATTAGGATGATTTGTTTATTTTTCCATTAGGAGTCATCCATTTCCACCAAGCAGCAATCAACTTTATTCACTTTATATGAACAGAAATAAAGTCTGTCTACATCAAAAGCTAGGAAAGCATCCTGACTGGGGGTGAAGACAATATACTACGGAAACATTTTGATAGTTCGTATTCATGCTTTGTGCTTGAGCACATGGGTTCAGTTCATCTCTGTATACAGGGATTCAAGGTCAAGGACTATAAACTTGCAAGCAGAACTCTTGAATTTTTATGGTACCAGGACTACTACGGAGATTCATTCTTATTTCTAGTACTTGGTTTTCTTTAGTTCCATTCCATTTAAATTACTTCCAGAAATGAAGTGGATAGACTGATACTATGAAAAGAATAAAAATTCAACATTTATATGGAGACATCAATTTCCTAAATTCTTAAAATAATAAGGATGACTAAAATACCCCCAGGAGACAAGTAATGACAACATTCCAAATTTATCAATGTTTTCAACTAAAGATATGCAGCCCACTGTTCTCAGGGCTTTACACCTATCATCTGAATAGACCAGGAGGAGAGTGTCGTTTTTTACTGCACTATATAAGGATGATAAGAGACCTTGCTGAAGATCACAGTATGTGGCATAGGAGGTAGTCGAACTTACAGCCTGCATCGTTGACCTTACACTGCTATCTCTTAGAATATAGAGAAGCATTGGCAGGTTGACAGATGTAATGGAGACAGGTCAGTTTACCAGTTAGAGGACTGGTTCCCAATTCTCATAAGCCTATTCCTCCTGGTCAGTGAAACCACTGTATTTACGATCAGTGGATATATCTTTAAAAGCATAATAAATCTGTCAAAATCCCCAAATCCACATTCAAAAATATGGGCTTTAAAACTAGGGCAGGGATGGAGAGAGAGTTCAGAGGGCAAAATGTTTCCCACATAAGCACGAAGCCTTAGGGTTGATCCCCAGCACCCACATGAAGAAGGTGGGTGTAGTACATGCTTGCAATCCTAGCACTTTGTAGACAGAGAAAAGCAGATTCTGGAGCTCATTGGGCAGCCAGCTTAGCCTATTTGGTGAATGCCAGACCAGTGAGAAACTGTATCTCATAAACAAAACCCAAGGTGCACATCATCTAAGGAATGATACCCAAGATTGGCTTCTGGTCCCTACATGCTTGTGCATGCATGTGAGAAAGTATGACAAATTTAAAAGGATCAACATAATTTCCTTCTTTGACACAGGGAATAATAAAACTTGGCCAAGCAGAGTTTCACCCCACATCCAATCTATCAAAATCTTGTCATTTCTTTTATTTTTATATATCACTTGGGAGTGTTTGGTAGGTTTGTGTGTGTGTGTGTGTGTGTGTGTGTGTGTGTGTGTGGTG